GTAGTTGAGTGAGTGAGTGTGTAGGTGAGTGAGTGAGTGTGTAGGTGAGTGAGTGAGTGTGAGAGAGAGTATGGGCGAGTGAGTGTCTAGGTGAGTGAGTGTGAGAGAGAGTGTGGGTGAGTGTGGGTGAGTGTGAGAGTGAGTGTGTAGGTGAGTGTGTAGGTGAGTGAGTGTGAGAGAGAGTGTGGGTGAGTGAGTGTGTAGGTGGGTGAGTGAGAGAGAGTGTGGGTGAGTGAGTGTGTAGGTGGGTGAGTGAGAGAGAGTGTGGGTGAGTGTGAGAGTGAGTGTGTAGGTGAGTGAGTGAGAGCGAGTGAGAGAGAGTATGGGTGAGTGAGTAGGTGAGTGTGTAGGTGAGTGAGTAGGTGAGTGAGTGTAGGTGAGTGAGTGAGTGTGTAGGTGAGTGTGTAGGTGAGTGAGTGTGTGAGTAGGTGAGTATGTAGGTGAGTGAGTGTGTAGGTGAGTGAGTGTGTAGGTGAGTGAGTGAGTGTGTAGGTGAGTGAGTGTGTAGGTGAGTGAGTTTGTAAGTGAGTGAGTGAGTGTGAGAGAGAGAGAGTATTGGTGTGTGAGTGTGTTGGTGAGTGAGTGAGTGAGTAGGTGAATGAGTGAGTGTGAGTGAGTGCGAGTGAGTGCGTTAGAGAGAGTATGGGTGGGTGAGTGAGTGAGAGTGAGTGAGTGAGTGCGAGAGAGAGAGAGAGTGTGGGTGAGTGAGTGTGTCGGTGAGTGAGTGAGAGAGAGTGTGGGTGAGTGTTTGTGTGTAGGTGAGTGAGTGAGTGTGTAGGTGAGTGAGTGAGTGAGTGTGAGAGAGAGAGAGTATGGGTGAGTGAGTGTGTAGGTGAATGAGTGGGAGTGTGTGTGTAAGTGAGTGTGTAGGTGAGTGAGTGAGTGTGTAGGTGAGTGAGTGAGTGTGTAGGTGAGTGAGTGTGTGTGTAAGTGAGTGTGTAGGTGAGTGAGTGAGTGTGTAGGTGAGTGAGAGAGAGAGTATGGGTGAGTGAGTGTGTAGGTGAGTGAGTGAGTGAGAGTATGGGTGAGTGTTTGTGTGTAAGTGAGTGAGTGAGTGTGTAGGTGAGTGAGTGTGTAGGTGAGTGAGAGAGAGAGTATGGGTGAGTGAGTGTGTAGATGAATGAGTGGGAGTGTGTGTGTAAGTGAGTGTGTAGGTGAGTGAGTGAGTGTGTAGGTGAGTGAGTGTGTAGGTGAGTGAGTGAGTGTGTAGGTGAGTGAGTGAGTGTGTAGGTGAGTGAGTGTGTAGGTGAGTGAGTGTGTAGGTGAGTGAGTGTGTAGGTGAGTGAGTGAGTGTGTAGGTGAGTGAGTGTGTAGTAGGTGAGTGAGTGTGAGAGAGAGTATGGGTGAGTGAGTGTTTAAGTGAGTGAGTGTGTAGGTGAGTGAGTGTGTAGGTGAGTGAGTGTGTAAGTGAGTGAGGGAGTGTGAGAGAGAGTGTGGGTGAGTGAGTGTGTAGGTGAGTGAGTGTGTAGGTGAGTGAGTGAGTGTGTAGGTGAGTGAGTGTGTAGGTGAGTGAGTGTGTAGGTGAGTGAGTGTGTAAGTGAGTGAGTGTGTAGGTGAGTGAGTGTGTAGGTGAGTGAGTGTGTAAGTGAGTGAGGGAGTGTGAGAGAGAGTGTGAGTGAGTGAGTGTGTAGGTGAGTGAGTGTGTAGGTGAGTGAGTGAGTGTGTAGGTGAGTGAGTGTGTAGGTGAGTGAGTGTGTAGGTGAGTGAGTGTGTAGGTGAGTGAGTGAGTGTGTAGGTGAGTGAGTGTGTAGGTGAGTGAGTGAGTGTGTAGGTGAGTGAGTTTGTAAGTGAGTGAGGGAGTGTGAGAGAGAGAGAGTATGGGTGAGTGAGTGTGTAGGTGAGTGAGTGAGTGTGTAGGTGAGTGAGTGTGTAGGTGAGTGAGTGAGTGTGTAGGTGAGTGAGTTTGTAAGTGAGTGAGGGAGTGTGAGAGAGAGAGAGTATGGGTGAGTGAGTGTGTAGGTGAGTGAGTGAGTGAGTAGGTGAATGAGTGAGTGTGAGTGAGTGAGTGCGAGTGAGTGCGTTAGAGAGAGTATGGGTGGGTGAGTGAGTGAGAGTGAGTGAGTGCGAGAGAGAGAGAGTGTGGGTGAGTGAGTGTGTCGGTGAGTGAGTGAGAGTGTGGGTGAGTGTTTGTGTGTAAGTGAGTGAGTGAGTGTGTAGGTGAGTGAGTGAGTGTGAGAGAGAGAGTATGGGTGAGTGAGTGTGTAGATGAATGAGTGGGAGTGTGTGTGTAAGTGAGTGAGTGTGTAGGTGAGTGAGTGAGTGTGTAGGTGAGTGTGTAGGTGAGTGAGTGAGTGTGAGAGAGAGTATGGGTGAGTGAGTGTGTAGGTGGGTGAGTGTGAGAGTGAGTGTGTAGGTGAGTGAGTGTGAGAGTGAGTGTGTAGGTGAGTGAGTGTGAGAGTGAGTGTGTAGGTGAGTGAGTGTGAGAGTGAGTGTGTAGGTGAGTGAGAGAGAGTGTGGGTGAGTGTGAGAGTGAGTGTGTAGGTGAGTGAGTGAGAGCGAGTGAGAGAGAGTATGGGTGAGTGAGTAGGTGAGTGTGTAGGTGAGTGAGTAGGTGAGTGTGTAGGTGAGTGTGTAGGTGAGTGAGTAGGTGAGTGTGTAGGTGAGTGAGTAGGTGAGTGTGTAGGTGAGTGTGTAGGTGAGTGAGTAGGTGAGTGTGTAGGTGAGTGTGTAGGTGAGTGAGTAGGTGAGTGTGTAGGTGAGTGAGTAGGTGAGTGTGTAGGTGAGTGTGTAGGTGAGTGTGTAGGTGAGTGAGTAGGTGAGTGTGTAGGTGAGTGAGTAGGTGAGTGTGTAGGTGAGTGTGTAGGTGAGTGTGTAGGTGAGTGTGTAGGTGAGTGTGTAGGTAGGTGAGTAGGTGAGTGTGTAGGTGAGTGTGTAGGTGATGTGAGTAGGTGAGTGTGTAGGTGAGTGTGTAGGTGAGTGAGTAGGTGAGTGTGTAGGTGAGGTGTAGGTGAGTGAGTAGGTGAGTGTGTAGGTGAGTGTGTAGGTGAGTGAGTAGGTGAGTGTGTAGGTGAGTGTGTAGGTGAGTGAGTAGGTGAGTGTGTAGGTGAGTGAGTAGGTGAGTGTGTAGGTGAGTGTGTAGGTGAGTGAGTAGGTGAGTGTGTAGGTGAGTGTGTAGGTGAGTGAGTAGGTGAGTGTGTAGGTGAGTGAGTAGGTGAGTGTGTAGGTGAGTGTGTAGGTGAGTGAGTAGGTGAGTGTGTAGGTGAGTGTGTAGGTGAGTGAGTAGGTGAGTGTGTAGGTGAGTGTGTAGGTGAGTGAGTAGGTGAGTGTGTAGGTGAGTGTGTAGGTGAGTGAGTAGGTGAGTGTGTAGGTGAGTGAGTAGGTGAGTGTGTAGGTGAGTGTGTAGGTGAGTGTTGTAGGTGAGTGTAGTAGGTGAGTGTGTAGGTGAGTGAGTAGGTGAGTGTGTAGGTGAGTGTGTAGGTGAGTGTGTAGGTGAGTGAGTAGGTGAGTGTGTAGGTGAGTGTGTAGGTGAGTGTGTAGGTGAGTGTTGTAGGTGAGTGTGTAGGTGAGTGATGTAGGTGAGTGTGTAGGTGAGTGTGTAGGTGAGTGAGTAGGTGAGTGAGTAGGTGAGTGTGTAGGTGAGTGTGTAGGTGAGTGAGTAGGTGAGTGTGTAGGTGAGTGTGTAGGTGAGTGAGTAGGTGAGTGTGGTTAGGGTGTAGGTGAGGGTAGGAGGTGTAGGTGAGTAGGTGATGGTGTAGGTGAGTGTGTAGGTGAGTGAGTAGGTGATGTGTGTAGGTGAGTGGTAGGTGAGTGAGTAGGTGGAGGTGTAGGTGAGGAGTGTAGGTAGGTGTGTAGGTGAGTGTGTAGGTGAGTGTTGTAGGTGATGTAGGTGAGGGTAGGTGAGTGTGTAGGTGAGTGAGTAGGTGAGTGTGTAGGTGAGTGTGTAGGTGAGTGAGTAGGTGAGTGTGTAGGTGAGTGTGTAGGTGAGTGTGTAGGTGAGTGAGTGAGTGTGTAGGTGAGTGTGTAGGTGAGTGAGTGTGTGAGTAGGTGAGTGTGTAGGTGAGTGAGTGTGTAGGTGAGTGTGTAGGTGAGTGAGTGAGTGTGTAGGTGAGTGTGTAGGTGAGTGAGTGAGTGTGAGAGAGAGTATGGGTGAGTGAGTGTGTAGGTGGGTGAGTGTGAGAGTGAGTGTGTAGGTGGGTGAGTGTGAGAGTGAGTGTGTAGGTGAGTGAGTGTGAGAGTGAGTGTGTAGCTGAGTGAGTGTGAGAGTGAGTGTGTAGGTGAGTGAGAGAGAGTGTGGGTGAGTGTGAGAGTGAGTGTGTAGGTGAGTGAGTGAGAGCGAGTGAGAGAGAGTATGGGTGAGTGAGTAGGTGAGTGTGTAGGTGAGTGAGTAGGTGAGTGTGTAGGTGAGTGAGTGTGTGTGTAGGTGAGTGTGTAGGTGAGTGTGTAGGTGAGTGAGTGAGTGTGTAGGTGAGTGTGTAGGTGAGTGAGTGTGTGAGTAGGTGAGTATGTAGGTGAGTGAGTGTGTAGGTGAGTGTGTAGGTGAGTGAGTGAGTGTGTAGGTGAGTGAGCGAGTGTGTAGGTGAGTATGTAGGTGAGTGTGTAGGTGAGTGAGTGTGTGAGTAAGTGAGTATGTAGGTGAGTGAGTGAGTGTGTAGGTGAGTGTGTAGGTGAGTGTGTAGGTGAGTGTGTAGGTGAGTGAGTGAGTGTGTAAGTGAGTGTGTAGGTGAGTGAGTGAGTGTGTAGGTGAGTGTGTAAGTGAGTGTGTAGGTGTGTAGGTGAGTGTGTAGGTGAGTGAGTGAGTGTGTAGGTAAATGTGTAGGTGAGTGAGTGAGTGTGTAGGTGAGTGTGTAAGTGAGTGTGTAGGTGAGTGTGTAGGTGAGAGTGTAGGTGAGTGAGTGAGATGCCTTCATCCGTACGGACATCTGTCAACCTACCGGACGTGTGAAACCTACCGGACATCTGTGGAAAAGAGCTTTGTGGCTCATCGGATTTGCTCTCCCCCCCCCCCCCCCCCCTGGTCTAAATCACGACGGCGGTGGTCACGTGCTCGCGTGCGGGTCCAGGCCGGACGACATCTACATCGGCTACCTGCCGCTGGCTCACGTCCTGGAGCTGAGCGCCGAACTCTCCTGCCTGTGCTACGGCTGCCGCATCGGTTACTCCTCACCACTCACGCTCTCCGACCAGGTCGCTCGCTCGCTCACTCATTCACTCACTCGCTCAGTCATTCACTCACTCACTCGCTCATTCACTCACTCGCTCATTCACTCACTCATTCATTAACTCGCTAATTCATTCAATCGCTCATTCACTCACTCGCTCATTCACTCACTCATTCAGTCACTCGCTCGCTCACTCGCTCATTCACTCGCTCATTCATTCACTCGCTCATGCATTCACTCACTCGCCGCTAGCTCACGTCCTGGAGCTGAGCGCCGAACTCTCCTGCCTGTGCTACGGCTGCCGCATCGGTTACTCCTCACCACTCACGCTCTCCGACCAGGTCGCTCGCTCGCGCGCTCACTCGCTCATTCTCTCATCCATTCACTCACTCGCTCATTCTCTCATCCATTCACTCACTCGCTCATTCTCTCATCCATTCACTCACTCGCTCATTCTCTCATCCATTCACTCACTCGCTCATTCTCTCATCCATTCACTCATGTGTAATATCGTAAATTACGGCGGGAGACCACTTGACGGGTAGCACACTTTATTAACACTTCCTTTAGCCACAATAACACGTGTGGCCAACTACAGCCTACGCTACACGTTCCACCCGGGCACACACCCACGGGCTCTCCAGCCCCGTAGCTTCCAGGAGAACTCACAGACCCACCCCGGCTGGGGTATGGGTCACGACCACTGGGTCCCGTGGGCCGGCCCTCACAAGGACGTCCGGCCGCGGGTCCTAAGGTCCCGCCTCTGAGCCGCACAGGGTCCCG